AAAAAATATATCATTATTTTATTAAAAATACCACTTAAAGGCATGTATATTATATAATATTAATTAATTAATTTAAAAAATTAATTAATTAAAAATATATATTATTATTAAAAAAATGAAGTAAAGGCCAAAAAAAATGAAAAGGCGTGCAGGTGCAATGCCAGAGAAGCCGATGACAAATGACGTTACGAAGTTAGTTAGCGGAGGGGCTGTTTTGCACCCACCGTGAGGTTGGAAGGCTTATTTGTCACTTTTTTAGTTCCGGGGCTTGTCGCTTACTGTCGAAAACAGTTGAGGGGTTTAAGAAGGGTTTTTGCCTTAATTGTATCTCAAGACAATATTATTTGTAGGGCCCATATTTTTGAATATTCAATTCATCTAAAGCAAACCGTGTGTTGATTATTTGTAGGGCCCATATTTTTTAAGGCAAACCGCATCTTGACGGAATCAACGGCTTTGTTGTACTTCTATATTCATTCTGTCCATGCAATGACCATCATAACCCTTGAAGAAAAACAAAACAAAATCAATTTTATAGGTACCATGAAATTAAAAAATCTACGACCAAGAAAAAAAAAAAACTCATGAAATTGGATGGAAAAAACCAGGAGGTAAGAGACTGCATATCTTGTCTTTTTTGCATTTTCAGGGTCAATAATAGCAGGCAATGGGGTCTTCAGTAATTGTTTTTCTTTTTCCTTGTAGATGGGACCTCAAATTCCAAATAAAGGGGAGATAAATTCTACTTGCAAAGTGGGAATACAAGAAAATAGTAGATAGAGAAACAAAAAAGGCCAAAAAAAGGAAAGAAGCAAGTACCTTCGCTGCTTCGCTTTTTTCCAGGATAAAAAATTGGATTCAGGATATGATCATGGGGATGCCCAGTGTACCTGCATGTACACACCCCTTTATTGGGAAGTTTTAAGCTGTAAAACAATCTGCAACAAGAGACAAAACTTAGGAGAAATTTTAAGGATTAATTAATTAAAAAAACTTGAAGGGATCAAAGGAATAAATTATCCGTTATATTTCGATGATTCTCAAATTTTTTTTTTTTT